ACTCTCCGTGGCCGCCCATTTTCCAGTCGGGCCGCTATTGCATCAGCGATTTTCCAGTGGGCAAAACAGACCCCTAAAGAAGCGTTCGCGGCAGCCATGGAGTCATGGCGTCGACGTTGTGAAAAATGTGTTCGTCTACAGGGAGATTATGTTGAGAAGTGACAGAAGTTTCAACTTTCTGGTGTAAGTAGTTTGTCAGAAAAAAATTAGGAGACCTTAGAACTTGAACGCACCTCGTATTGTGGTAGTGATCCGACTAAAAAGCCCCCATCTTTGGCTTCCCCGATCGACTGTTGGTAAACTCGATTTCTAGCTGGAATTTTTTTTGTCGCCACTCTTCAATTTCTTCTCTTCCACAAACAAATTACGAGGAGGAATACCGAAATGCAAAGACAGGATGCCGAAAATGATAGTTCCTTTCGGAAAGTTGGCCGAACATCATCTCCTGCGCGCCGAAAGTACGGCTATAACGCGGATTTTTCCATGCATTGCGCCTAAATTCACCTTCCATTCTGAAAAGCAAGGGGAATTGCGCCGAAAATGAATTGCAAACCATCTAAAAGCAAGTTGCAAAGGTATAAGACCTCACTCCCTCCTCAATGCTTTCACACTTGAATTATTTCCCAACAATTTCACATAAGTGTAACAGAGGCATTAAGTGAATGTATGCTGATGAATGTCAATGACAGTTATTTACACTCTATTGCCCCCCTCCAAAAAAAGCACCACCAAGGATTTGAGCGACCTTGATGAAATTTAGTACAGAAGCTCTTTGTAATGTGCAATAAAACAAATTAAAGGGTTTCAAGGGCGTAGGATGAATATTAGCAAAGATCAAATATCTCCGTATGAGTGAGGACAAGGAGCCATACTAACCACCTGAAATGGTTACCTAGGATTTTATTAATGAAGTGTATGCAGTAAAATACCGTCAAAACGAGCCTTAGATTAACGGATTTTTCAGAACAACATATTCACAAATCTCCTCCAGATTTACCATGCAAACAGCAAAAATATTTCATAATAACGAATTTCGATTTAAAGTATGTTTCATTTTAACGTCCTTGTTTTGAAGACCGCGCGTATGTAATGTTACCGGAATAATGTTGATTTTGTTTCATCTTCACGGGAATGGAATTGTGATCCGATCCCAACTGTTGTGAAATTCAAGATGAATTAATGTTAGTTGAATACGTACTCATTATTCAGCGCAGAAATTACCGTCCCCCAATGTAGGAGTCCTAGAGAAAGCACATGATTAAGTCTAACTATACCCTAGGATGCCAACAGCAATGAAAGAAACTATGGCCCGAATGCTGAAACCTCATTTAGGCCAGATACAACCCATTTGGCACAACAACGTTGTGTCAATATTGAGAAAAGGTTGATTTTTCAATTGAAAATGAAATGAATGAAACACAGCTCAACGTAGAAAAGTTGATGCTGTGCAACGTTGTGCCAATGTTGAATTGTCAACGTACGGGCATTATAGTACATCCTCCCTTATCCAGAGTCTGGAAGAGCGTTAATTAGCTGACGATGAGATTGAACGTAGATTCGATAACTCCACGGAGAGTACTCAAATGGTATGATACAAGCAGTACTCTATTGAGTACGATCATCCCACATTTATGGCCCTCAAAGCCTCATTTCCTTTACCGGATCAGAATTCGAATTGAGTACTTACATGACTCATCTCTCTGTTCAGTTGATTACCCCGCGGGCATATTTTCATGTTTTATCCTCTATGGAAAAGCTCTCCACATGGCATATGCCATGTGGATATATGAAAAAATTGAGCTTGTCTCCTTGGACCAGAAGTACTTTTCGTCTCCTTCTGCCGGGTTACCTCCTTAAACGGGTCTATCTTTAAATTCCTATGCCTTCCCTTAAGTTGTACATGGAAAAAGAGCGGGTACTGTATGAAAATTACAGGGTACGACTTATTTCAGGGCACCAGGGTAAGAATTGGCTGTTATGCGCCATCTCGTGTCGATTCGTAGAACTTATTTCCTGTTGGTATGATGTGGATAACTCCACGTAGAAATAACATTGAGAATACGATGAAAAACGAATTTGAGCTCGATAGCCTCTGAACGACTTCCCTAATTCACGAGTAGTCACCAAATGCTGAAAATACTGTTAATTACGATAAGTTAGCATTTCATCGATGTTGATTTTTCGTCGAATTCTCAACTTCAACCAAGTCTCAACGTTTCAACCTTTCTTCAATGTTGACACAACGTTGTTGTGCCGAATGGGAATGTTTTGCACTTCAGTTAGACACTTTTTCACTTGACTTCGACATGCATGCATGAGGAACGTCCCATGCACGTGTGTCTGAGCCAAATAAAAAAATGTCTAACTCAAGTGAAAAACACCGTAAAGGGGCATTTAGGCTAAAGAGCTCTTTTTCTCCCATAGAAGTACATATATTCTTATTCTTAACACATTGAGCCATAACAGAACCATTTCTATGCAAGTGCATTTAAATTTCGCCGTATATTCGGGACGAAAATCCGCTTTATTAGGGTAAGGTCGGTAGTGAATTTAGGTCGTCCGTTCCGGATGGTTTTTTCCACCCTCTTTCTCGCTCCCCTACGCCGTGAGCTTTGTGGTTAAGAGCTGGCGAGTTGTTAAGGCAGAGACCGTCGCAAACTGCTTCCGTGGAGCTGGCTTTCATTCTAGAGCAGAGGTGCCAGTGTCAATCTGTGAGGAGGGTCTGACCATTCTTGATGTCACTAACGGAGACGCCTTCGTTAACATCGAAGAAAACGCGCCGTGCTTCGCCGAACACGATGACTTTGAGGACGATATACACGGTGTTTAAGAGAAAAAACTGTGCCAAATCATTTTCGCTATTAATGACAATAAATTTTATCAAATCAACTTAATTTTTTAAACACTGCATGTAGATTGAGGAAAGAAAGCATGTGCCAAATTGTAAGGAAATTGACCCATTGTATCACGTTCTATGCCATTTCAAACTTCATGTGTAAAAAAAGTGTGGGGTCTGTCCACGGTGTCGAATGTGACATCCGGAGTAATATTTTTAGTATATAAAATGTATTTAACTATGTTATGGATGACGAATCAGCATATAAAGACTGTAACAATTTGCTTTGGATGGTGACTGAAAATTCCATAATCCAGTCTTCCACTCTTTCTTACGTTAGAGGTGTACCTCTGTACAAAGGAAAGTGTCAGGCGTGACATTTCGTGAACCTCAAGTTAAAGTCACTTGCACTAATGTTCACATATCTGTCATCGAGCGGATCCTAATAATTTGGTTTAATATCCATTCTATAGAGTGAATGAACGCTTAAAATTAGTGTAAGTCACCCCAAGATGTCAACACTTGAAACAGAATGTAAGCCTATTTTGGGACGGTGTCGGATGTGACATGTTCTGAAAGTGTATTTTGAAACAAGAAGTCTGTACATATATATGTATTTTATTTTAAAGATACCATTCAAATGTGAACAATTGACATCTATTCTTCACACCTGAGCTGATTTGAAATTATCAGCATGCATGGAAAGCCCATGCTGGCATCTGTTCCAGTAGTCTAATTCAGTCTCTCCAAATTTGCATTTTCATCACATTTTTCAGTATCATGAGATTGGTATGAATAATATATCATAATCATGACTAATTCTTTCATTTTCCAATGTAATATTCTCTTTCATTCATGTCTTTTGGGATAAGAGATGATGAACTTTCGTTGCGAAAGTACTCGTAATATCTGCATACTTAGGAAAATTTCCTGCTAAAATTCTAGTTTTAAACGGTGTATCACGTGATACATTCGGTCAATATCATTCAAAATTTGCAAAAGCCCTCTTTCATCTATCCGCATGCAGTTTGTGAAATATTGGGCTGATTGGATGAAATCTACTATCATTCCTATTTTTAAAAAAAGGAATTGGCACAGTTTTTTTCGAGCTTGTACGGCACACTTTCTTACACATGAAGTTTGAAATGGCACAGAACGTGATACAATAGATCAATTTCCTTAAAATTTGACACATGCCTTCTTTCTTCTATCTACATGCAGTGTTTAAAAAATTAAGTTGATTTGATAAAACTTACTGTCATTAATAGCGAAAATGATTTAGCACAGTATTTTTTTTTAAATACCGTGTAGTCGAGGACATCGTTGCCAAGAGGCCTTACTTAGGGGATGATGCAGACAGGGAACCTGAGACTTTACCTAAGGTGACTCGCCTAAAGGCCAGGCGCTCGGTGGACATCCTTCAGCGCTACTTTATTGAGCAGGGTTTGTGTGATATGGCACATGCTGTTCTTGACACTTGTGCTGATGAAGTCTTTAGAATTGCTCTTTTTTAGGTATGAAACAAACAACTATGGACAAATTTATTGAATCGTAATTCTTGCACAAGTAAATGACATTCGTGGCTGGGTTTCTTACTATTCTTTAGTATGAGGTAAGGTCGCATTATTGGGGCAGCTGCTTAATCAGGGCAAATTAACATGAAACCGAGGTGTCCCAATTAAGCGGAATCCTCTATATATCAGGGTGCATATCATTTGTAAATAGCACTGCACCTAATGAACTCGTGTGTAAAGACAAGGAAACAATTTTCACTGAGAGGCAAAAAGGCGATATTGGAAGAAGTAGATTCGGGAAAGAACAAGTTAATGTGGCAAAGCACAGAATGTGTTCTTTAGAGCTCCTCGAGGAGTGGAGTAAAAAATGGTTAATTAAGATTAACAAGATTATACGTAAGGTCTTTCATGTCGGTCGCAGTAACAGTAGGCCTCTGACTGCGTTAGCAAGGATGAATTGGGGGACAAACAGAGAGAGACTTAGGGATTACGAACGACGAGGAACTCAAGTTCTCTTCTTCTGTGTAGGCGAGTGTAACAGGATCCTATGCTTCATCCGGCGTTCCATTGCCATTAAGAGTTCTCGCGTTATTCTTCCGTTGCATTCCACATTAGTTAGACCCCATTTAGAGTATTGCGCTCAATTCTGAAGGTTTGGGAATGAAAGTGACTTGGCAGCATAGAGAGGTTTTAATTTAAGTAGCCTGCCTTAAAAGGCAGGTTACTTAAATGATCAAGGAGGTGTGTGGACGTTATGAGAGGCGTTTAGAAGCCCTAGAGCTCTATTCGCTCAAGCGAAGGTTAACGTTGGGCACCCTATCCAGGCATTCAATAAGGAAATTGTCATGTGGGGCGCGATAGGCTTTTTTTTTAACTCTGTGGTAAAAACCGAACAAGCGGATATCAGTTCCAATTGCGAAAGTCCCAAGCAAGACTCAGGTCGCAAAATAACTTTTTCCCTTGTAGGATGGTTGATGCGTGGAACGCGTTAGACGATCTTCTTGTGCCTGCCGTAACAGGCAGGAGAAGGTAGCGCTTCCACAGAAATATGCAATAGCGTGCCCAGAGAATCCCAGGGGGTGGGGTTGACATGAAAAATTGGTAACCCACCCCTGCATATGTGGCCAAATTAAGCAATTTTTGTGAATCGAACCAATAAAATGTATCCCAAGGGAGGGGGGTTATGACCCCCATAACCCTCCTAAAAACCTTATAAGCCTCATCAGGGCTAGATGAGGACTTACCCTTCTGTAACTGATGCCACTCAATGGATATTGAGTCCTATAAGAAAAAAGTGTGTATGCCTGATCTTTTATTTCATTGTGACCAATGAGACTTGATAGTCTTATTAGAACAGGTGATTCTGCTCCACCAATCTTGCCATAATGTATGATTATGATGATATTTTGCACTGAATTTTGGAAGGGACTCTTATTCTTCATGTTGTGTTTCACAGGCACGGGTGGATAATGGGGAAGAGTGTGTAAGTGAGATCCTGGATTGGGCCAGTGAACTTCTCCCCTTTGCTGGACAATGGATGGAAGATCTCCTCAAACTGGTTCTTTCCATGCTACATGAGAGAAGCATCTGCCCTGAAGCCATACAGCACTTCCTCTACTTTTTTCCCTCTCCAAACCACATCCCTACAGAGCTTCAGCCACAGGCTAGGGATTTGGTGGCAAAATGGCTGCAATGTGCAACAGGAGACCTCTATTCCAGCCTCACATCTCTTCATGAATATGCTAGCATTGAAGGGCACAATCAAATTCAAGAAGATAAGACTGTGAGGGAGTTAGCAGGGTATTTTGGAGAGAGGGACCTTATCAACTCATCCAGTCTTCCAAATCTCAATTCCCTAAACACAAAATGCCTCTCCTTCCTTTCCATTTTCCTGGAATTGACTTGTAAGCACATATCACAGAATACTTTCTCTGTACCTATTCTTGCCATTCACAAAGAAGAGCTTTGTCAAGAGATTCTTACCACTGTAAATTTGAAGCACACCATTGGAAAATGTAGGAAGAAATCTGTTGGCTTTGCTGATGGTACTTTGACATGCCTCACCACAGATCTCATCTTCAAATGCCTTTTGGGAGATGAAGTTGACCTTAACCTTGACCTTGATGGCTTGGAGAAACTGAAAGTGTTGAAGTGGGCCTATGACTGGAGTCAGGAGCCATGTGCTTCATTAACTGAGTCAGGGAAATTGAAGGTGGTACTTCCCCTTATACCCCTTCTTGCCTTTGCAGCCAAACATCTCATGAAGGCATCAAATGTGCCTAGAAAGGAGAATAAAAGGAATGAGGGTGACAGTGAACCAAGGAGATACCCTATTCCCCTCCGACGGCATCTGGGGCAAGGCAACAAATTCCATCCAAAGTGCATGCCATTGGAAACTAATGAGATATCTTTATTGCCTGAGACATCCACCACATGGAATGATCTTGAGGAAGATCCTTCTAACACCAAAACAACCATCAAAGACTTATTTTGTAAGGCACCCAATTCTGTTAAAGAGTGTGAAACAAGAACAAACTTGTCACTTCCTTCCACTATCACCAAAGAAGAGTTCACTGCATTTTCGCTTGATGGTCAAGCACAAACAAAATCATGCAGATTAGTCAACAAAAAACAAGACATTCAAGACTCTGATCCTTTTGAAGATTCTTCTGTTGGTGATAAAGTCAGAATTGAATTGCAAACCCATGTTGAAGATGGTAATGAATTGCTGAAGAAAAAAGTTCTTAGGACTAAAGAACTTAATTCAGACTGTTGGGTTCCTAACTCAAGAGACTCAGTCCCTTCACATCCTGTTCATCAACAAGCACAAAAGTCAAGGAGGAGTTCAAGGAAGGGGTTGAGGCATTCCCTATTGTTAATGGATGCAGCCAAGGTTGTTGAGAATGCATTTGAATCTGATACCTTTATAGAATGCTTGAAAGTGTCCAGCATTGAAGAGCCATCAAAGGAGGATTTGAAGGTACCTCTGAAGATGCTCAATGACAAGGTATTGGAGGAGCCTGACAAGGAAACCTGTGTCACAGAGTCCAAGGTCACTGTGAAGGGAATCTTTAGTACCAAGTATATGGAAGCTGAGGTGGGATGCAATAATGAGGAGCCTAAGGAAAGCAGGAAGTCAAGGGGGCAGGGATTTCCCATGCAGGAACCCAGTGTCAAAAGTTCCAAGGAACCTATAAAGAAGATCAATGGCAAGGAGTTGAAGCAGCTTGAGAAGGAAGTCCCTGGCAAAGAATTGGAAGAACCTTTGACTATGATTGATGACAAGTTCAAGGAATCCATTAAGTGTGATGTCAAGAAATATGTGAAACTCCATAACATAATTAAGGAAGAAGGTAATGGAGAACTAGAGGATTGTGTGATAGAGTTGAGAAAGCCAAATCAGGAAGCCTTTGACCTTAGGATGACTATCAGGCAGGAGATGAATGTCATTCTAGAGGTGAGGTGATATTTTGATTAATATCTGTTTTGCATGAATCTGTTGAGCATTGTATATTTTAGGCACATAGACATAGGTACTAAAGGGCCTCCTCATTTCATGTTGCTTGCTGTTGGAAGTAACCCTTGGAAAACTCTTTTCTTGCCCATGCAGAAAGTATTTCATGGAAATTTTTCCAGTCATCTGAATCATGCTCATTTAGCACGAACAGATTATTAACCCTATGCATCATTGAGGTGTTTTGAAACACAGTAGTTTTGAGTGTCTGCTGTGCAGTGGACAGCACCGCTGCCCCTCCAGCGCATTGCAGCATCACTGCCTAGGCTGCTCACTGACTATGAGCTACACTTCATTGTTATTTCGACTGTTGTTGGGGGAGGTTGTATTGCCAAAGCAAGGGAAATTAATAAAACAATCCATCATTATTGATAAACAAGGACTTCTGGACCTATTTTATTGTGATTGCAAGCCAGTAGCTAAGTAACTGTGTAGTGTAGTACTATAGAAAGTACTTGGTTCAAGTATCGCTTCTTTGATAAAGTATTCTCCTTGAAAATAACCAAGTATTATTGCACAGAACTTTGTTCTAAAGTCTACCTTAAGTATACATTCTGTGATTGTCTTTGTATTAGCATAAGGGGGAAATGTGAGGATGATAAAAGTGGATGCTTTGTTTGCTTTTTAGGAATTGGAGAAGCTGAAAAAGCACCATGAGAGGAGTTCCAACAAGGAGATCCCTGGCAGAAATTTGCCAAATCCTGCATTATGGGACATAGTGATGCGAACAAAAATGTTGCAATCTGAAATCCACAAGCCTCAGACATCCAAGATGGAAGGAGAAGATATTTCCCTAGCACAAAATGAGGCAACAAGTAAAAGAGCACCTATTACCCATCAGTCAACAGAGAGCAAAGATGTGTCTGTGGGGAGAATGGGAACAGATACACTAGAAGATGTCACACTACCTTCCAGTATTTGCTTCACTGCTCAATGCAAGATGAAAGAAACCACAAAGAAGTCTTCCACATACAAACAGTATCTTCTTTGCAAGCCAAGTGCAATTGGTCTGCATTCTGATATCCCATCTTTGATAGTTTGGGACAAAGACTTTTTAAAAACAGTTAGGAAAAAGCAAAAGAATAAAAGGGTTGTTCCTATTTTGAAATACAACAAGGCACAACATCGTCTGTCCCTCAAATTCCTACCTCTTGAGCCACTGATGGCAGCCTTGAAAGAGAGATTGGAGAAGCGGAAAAAATGCTCCTCTGATTCTTCACTCGAAACTTTGCTAGGCAAGGTTCCTACTCCTGAAATGAGTCCATCCAGTATCAGACATCAATCTGGAGAGGTGAGTTCGGTCTCAATTATCAGATTGACCTACTTGTGGTTGTGTATTGTCATTTTATCTGATTGCATTACATTTCATCATATTTTGAGACTTACCACAGTATTTCATCTCACAATTCCTTGTAGATACAGTTGACTCCACTTAGTGGAATACCATTGCACAAACTCAATTTACATTATGGTACAGTAGAATAATTTGGGCTATTAGAATACTCTGGGCTATTAGAATACTCTGGATTATAGAATAAAGTGTGCTGGTCCCATGAGCATTCCATTATGCAAAGATGACTGAGTTGAACACCCTAAGAGATGTAAGTGCCTGTATATTGACTTAGGGCTTCAATTTCTTCTTTTAATTAATGTGGGGACTGTTCAGATAGTTCATAATCCTATTATAAGTAAAAATTTTATTGAATTTTCTTTTTTCAAAGAAGCCCAAAGGTATGACCTTTCTGCATTAAGATGTTTATTCCAGTGGATCTGCCATGCCTCAAACACTTGCCACAGGCCTTCCTTTGAAATGATTCTCTGAATACAAAAAATGGCATTGTTGACATCAGTGCCGAACTCAAATAAAAAAAATCCCAGAAGTATTTCTCATTCTGGGAACAGGAAAAAGTTACATGGGGCAAGGTCAGATGGTCATGGCCAAGGTCATGGGTGGACAAGCATCATAATATCTTGCTCTTCAATACTTGCTTTGGCAATGCAGGTTCTGCAGGCACCTACACCACATCTGGTTTTACTTCTTTACTAAAACATACTTCTGTACCGGGTGTTGCACTTAGGTAACCCCCCCCCCCTCCACAGCCTAAACTATAGAAGCTAGGAAAACATTTTAAATATATTTGGAATCTTTGTTCAATTTTGAATCTATTTCATCCAATTTTGTTTTTTCCTGATGTCATATGATGGTGAAAAACTTAAATTCAATGATCAGGATTGCTTTTTCTTTTTGGAAATGTGGAATGGCCAGGAAACTCTCCTGATCTGAATGTGGCTGAGAACATTGGGGTTATCCTGAAAGACTGAGTTGAGGCTCATGCACATGGAGGGCAAGCAGCATGGATTTTCCTGGGAAGCCTTGCAAATTAAGTGACATCACCAGGGTCTTGAAGGACATGGAAGATGACACCGAACTCTTTAAGCGCCTCTTTTCATCTTACCCCGTTCATATTAAAGCTCACAGAGACAGAGCCAGGGTGCATAAAAATTATGATAAGTATATGTTTAGATTTGAGAAAGAATGCTCTTTCTCATGATAAACGAGTTTTTTTCTTAGCTCTTATAGTTTAGGCTGTGGAGGGGCAGTTATCTATGTGCAACACCTGGTACACAGTAAACTACTTTTAATTTTATTAATTATCCTGTAGATTGGTACATTTGTAAGGATAAAATTAGGTTATTTTCTTCCAAGTAGTAAAGTATTCAACTGCTGCAGGACTTTTATGCCAAAAAATGTAATGATCTTTGAGTCTAAGAATAATTCTGCATGGCACAAATTTGCATTGCTCAGTTTCACCACCCTTGCCCATACACCAAAAATGATGCCTACACATCTTTGTCATTGGTTTCAGCCTTGGCCCATTACTCCACCACTAGAAATTAATTGCATCCTGAAATTAGACATTTTTCTATGTTTTATGCACTGTTGATTAGCATAGAAATAAGATTTTCTTCACTGGTAAATAAACCGTATTATTACCAGTAAAGTTATTGTAATATTACCATCACTCATGACCATACTAATACATTATGTGCTCATGGAGTAAGGAGCTGAGAATTGCCTTTCTTTTCTTTCATCTCCTGACAAGGACTCTCTAGGAATGCTCTCTTGCTCCTGGAAGTGCATTTGCCACCATCCTGTATTACTTGCCACCATCCCTTCTGTTCCTGTCAACTCTGCCACATATAAAACAAGGAAATTGATCATGTTTGGAGACTCTTATCCTCATGGTTTAATTCTTGAATATCTAAAAAAACGTCATGGCATTTTTGCAGCTGAACACCAATGTGAATTGGAGAGGAGTGATTTTTTCCTGCTGGAATTGTATCTCACTGCTTTCAAAAGGATCATGTATGCTAAAGTAGACCTGATCAGGGCAAGCTCAGAAGGAATATTTCTGCACAGTTAGGGCATTTTCATATAGATATGGGTGCTAAAGTCATTCAGGAAAAGACAGAGTTGCAGTGACTACCATAAAAATGATACCTTTATGCAAACCTGGAATCTTTTCATGATTTTTTTATTTTCTAGAATTCCTTTGAAGCCTATGAAAATGGTGTGAAAAATGATGCTGAAATCCAACAAGAAGGGGAACCAAGACCAGTATATCGTGTGGAGTCACCATCAGGATCAGTGTCATTAAGTACAAGCAGAAGCAGCTATACTCCAGTTGGAAATGGGGATAGCACCTCCTTTAGCTCTCTACCAATTGAACAATCATTCCAGAAATCTGCTTTTGAAGAAGAAAGTTTCTCGATTGGCAACTACGGAGAAGGAAAAACTGTTTGCCCATCTGGTGTTGAAAATGCCTCAGGAGAACTTACAGTATTACATGAATTAAAAGATTGTGTTGATATTGGAGTTGAAACACAATTCCCTACTGCAGATGCAGATATACAAGTTCAGCCAGAAGTGATGGGCACTCTGGTTCAAGTAGAAGAATTAACACATGCAAAACCCCAGCATGAGGCAAGGTTTACCAACCCAAAAGTTGAGACTGGCAAGAAAAATTATGCTTTTGTTCCTGTTGGATCAGCAAGTGTATTGGCAGAGATTGAGGCATTGTTGCAGAGCATCACACAGGCAGAAGACCTGGCCATTCGTGTTCATATGGGACTCCAGGAATCAAAGCAGGTATTTTTTTCTCCTTCCATCCTTTTGTTGATACAACAATGCAATTGCCAATTCAGAAATTATCTGGAATACAAAAAAGGTAACATTTGAAGGTCACAGAGAATGTCTACGTTTGGAAAAGGAATGAAGAACCTTTTGTTTTATGTGAACTTATATAATATTTTGTATATTTTGTGCTTGATTATCTAGGTCCTGAGGGAGATAGATGAGCTGGAAGGGGAGAGCGGGTCAGTGTTGTTGTTTGATTCCTGTGTGAGAAGAAATTATCACTGCCCTTCAGGGCTGGTCTCTGTTGACAAGAAGCAAACTGCAATCCTCAATGCATGCTATCACCAGGCCCTTGACCTTGGTATCCAGGGGTCCAGGGCACTTAGCATTATTGACAACCTCCGGTATGCATGGCACAGGATGCCTCATGTATTCATGTTTTGTACACTATGTAGGTATCTATTTATACTGTGGTGGTCAGAATTATTACATCACCTTAAAGTTTGAACCTTGAAGACTCAACTAATGGATGAATATACTTTTGCATCATATGATAAAATAATATTCAGCATTTTTTGCAAATCATGTGAGTAATGACTGAAGAATATCAACCTGAATATTATTCAATTATGGTTACAGATTGCCACTTTGAAAGGCTGTGCATCTTGTCATGTCATGAAGGCCGAGGGAGGAACAGCAAAATCTCAAATGGATATGAATATATATTGTACATTTGCGTGATTTTTCTACAATAAATAATATCAGAAATACATCATTTTAGCACCTAAATTTGATATTAGTTCAAAGCAATATTTTTCTTAAATCTAAAGTACAGCAAAGCATATGATTTTTAAAATGAAGCCAATGCCTAAATAAATACTGATGTAATATATATATACTCAGGTTATTGATATAATCATCAATGCAATGTATCATGCAAAGGCTGTGAGCATTTATTTACCAAAGTAAAACAATGTGAAAATCTAGCATGATGAAGTAATCTAGGTCACCAGTAAGAGTGCCTACTATGCCTCAAAAGATGTGATGACACTCCTGCTTACAGGAGGGGGAGAGGTATTTACAAACAGAAAGACAACAGATTACAAAGGAGATAGCAGAACAAACTCTAATGCTGAAATTTGTTGAGTGCCTTAGGCAACTAGTCCTTTCCAATGGCATTGAGGGGCCTTAGGCAACTAGTCCTTTCCAATGGCATTGAGGGAGTGATCAATAGTATTGAAGGGCTGTTAACTAGAATTGAAGGTGCAGGAGTGGAAAGCCACCCAACACATGGCAGGCATTGTATAGCCATTGATCCAAAAAACTGTATAAACATCAAGTTAAAGCCCTGTCCCTGAACAATTTATAGTCCAGCATATCCAGCTTGAATACCTGTTCAGTTTGAACCAGTTATGCTCTCCTCTGCCATTTATTTCCAACCTGAAATCCATGCTGACTGCAGCTGGAATTTTTGTACTGGTTGAAGAACAGTATTCTAATATTTATCTAATTGATCTCTAACTTAGGGTGGAACTTTCATTTTACCTTGTAAACTAAGCTGCACTGCAAGGATGCTGTAATTCTATTGAATCTGAAAGTTATAGGAGAAAAATGTTGATGAAATTGCATGTTTTGCAACCAACTCCCAGGTCTCTCTACCCTCCTTGATTAGTGTATCTCCACAGAAGCTATTGAGAAGCTTGGATTTTTACATCCTAAGTGGAATACCTTGTGTTTGCTTCTTGTAAAATCTTAACCACTCTTTTCTTCATTGTTTTTAGTCAAGAGACTTCAGCTATTCTCTTGTCTGCTCCTGATTTTCTGTGGCAGTGTCCACCTAGATGTCATTAGCAAATTTTTATTATTGTTAAGAAATAGACAGGACGTGTAGCTAACACATACAACAATGGACATGTTCCTCCATAGAGAAGAATAACTGGCTTGAGTGATTTTTAATGTGTACTGCACCAATATCTCCTAGGGGTGGCACACAGAGATTAGTGTGCATGTTATTCCACACTGAGCAGACACTCCCATGAAAGCAGGTGGGTTGCCTATCAGCAGAGGAAGGGCCCACCTGGACTCAATCCCTCCCCTTCTGGGTTTCACTTGGAAGCCAGAACCACTCAGATGCCAAACCCAGTTTTCATCAGCAAAATGTATTTATATTCTGAAAGCTTTATTTTAAGTATCTAAATTAAATATGCTATATATTTGGCAAAAAAAAATTGAAACCCAAGAAGAAACCTCCTCATGCGACTTTGGAAAGTAAGGAAAACTTTCTGTTAAGTTCTATGCTTTACATCACTAACTCTGCTTTCTCACCAAGTGTCGCACAATTTCCCCTTGATTTCCAAGATTGATTGCTTTAGTCATAATCTCTTATGCAGATTTGCATTGAATTCCCAAGAGGGAATATATAAATAGGAATGATGAGAAATAGGAATCTAGTAAAGGAAAATAAGAGCTCTAAATATTGTTCCCTTCTGACACCTGAATGTTTCAAATAAGCCATGTGTGCCAAATTTGCTTTGTTGTAGCTACTGTATTATGAATTTGATCCTCGATGAAATAAAAATTTCCTTAGTGTACATCTCAACCATACTCTCTAAAAATCTCTTTCCCCTCTGCCAACAGATCCAGTATGAACTGATGGCAGGCTTGATTTCATAGTTAAGTAAGTTAAATGTAAAATGAGGAATATGCCCAAACTCCTCATTATGAAGTTTTACAAATATGATTTTTAGCTCACTACAAAACATCTGGACTGGCAGAGCACTAGCGGTGTATCAGTGGTTCTCAAGGACACTTGATGGGAAATGATTAATCAGCTCCTAAAATTTCCTTTTCAAGAAAGAAAAAGTGGCTTTTATTCTTTTCCCTAGGAAGGAGTTTTTTGTGAAGAATAAAGTGTCAAGTTCAATGCAGAAACGTGCAACAGCACCCTTGGCTACATGTCTCTCCCAGGTCAGATTCCTTTTCCTTTGCCATCCAAGGACTTCATGAGGGTAAAACTGTTTTTCCTGGTATGTCATCATAGGCAAGGGATAGTCATCAAGAGAGAAAACTGGGATTCCAGAGAAGCCTGGAGGATGGGAAGGCTGTGGCTGTGGAATCTCTCTTAGCCAATTCCATCCTCGTGTCATGTATGAAAAGGCCCATTCGTAGTGGAAGGGGTCAAAGGAAAAAGTATTGTGGCTATCCTCTACTGGAGGACATCCCTGAAGTGGAATCCCTCAACATCTGAAGCACTGCCACCTGTCTTCCAATTATGAATTTGTATGGATAAGATTCTGTTCCCTGTTCCCTTCCTGCTTTCGAGCTTTTTCAAGATTTCAGCATTTTTACTCATGCTTGAGATCTGATCTGTACAACACTGTACAACATGTAATCTTCCCTTGTCTAATATATTATTAATTTATATTATTACCTCACTTCATTTTTTATTTTAAAGATTTTAAGGAAACATTATTTTTGTGAAATCTCAGCACCTCATGCTAGTCAAGTGTACCCATTTCTGTGATTTTTTTCCCCTTGTCATTTTGTGTGTATCTAATGAGTGGAGCATTGTGGTGGTATAATTTGAAGGGAGTGGCAGTTTTTTGCATAATGCAATGATATCTTATGAACACATGATTATGGTTTGTGAGCCATCTAAAAGGTGATTCCCACAGGAATCATTGAATTCTGGCCTCCTGCCTCTTGGATTATAAATATGAAACAGAACTCAGTAATGGAAGCATGCTACTTTTATGCAATTCTGGTGATCCAATTAGTAGATGACATGCCTTGGTGGGGAAGATAGAATATCATTAATGCCTCCTTCTAATCACCAATAGTTTAATGTGCATGAAACAGGAGGATGTGCAGGAGGCATTGGTGCATGACAATAACTATTGAACTTTAAGGAAAAGCCATAAGCAAAAATTCCATTGTTCCTCCTGACACTTAGTCAAATATGGCTATGTACCAACTTAGTCAAATATGGCTATGTACCTTGCTTTTAGTCCTGGCAAAAAGTTCCAGCTGGAAATATTACTGGTTTTACTCAGTCTGTGATGGACTTTTCTGGCAGCTGGATTGCCTTGCGGGAAATGTCACTGGTTCCATTCAGGAATTAGAGAGCAGGCATTTTCCAACTGGAAAAGCTGAGATCCAGCAGAATACAGCATGAAATTCTGGCTGGATCCTGTTGGTTCATTCCAGCTGGAAACAGCATGCCAATTTACAAATAGTCTGGTTGAAAATGCTGCAGTTCCTGCAGGAAGTGGCTCACTTTTAAAGATGGAAAGCTTGCTGTTTCAACCTAGAACTTTTTGTTAGGGTGGGTCTCCTCAAAAGGAAAGTGGCCTCTTGTAACTCCTGTGTTATGTTTGCATCAGTATCTCTCCCACTTGGGTTGTCTGGCATTAACTAAAAATATATTGAATCTCAAATATATTCACTCTGAAAATTTGAATGTAGCTAGATATGGTTGAGATACTTACCACCTTCATGTTTGGAAAAATTTACATGAAATTAGCATGACTTTTTAGTTTTTGAAAGTTCTCACTGCAGGAAAGGACATTGGTAATCATCATACTTCCTGGGGCTCAACCCAGTGCACATATGCAGCATCGGCTTAGGTCAAGGTATCTTATCTCAGACCAGAGCTGCCAGTTCCCATCCTACTTTCATAGCTGATGGAAGGCTGCACATGGATCATACAGCAAGCGGAAGTTTGTGAAATATATCAAGAAACTCTCAAATCTCACGGCACACCTAAGCCTTACTGGCGGCACACCATTTGGGAAACACTGCTTTAAAGGACTGTCAGGGTGGCCACCCCCCACCCTGTTCCTCATGAAATAAGCAAATACACTCCTGCTCCTTACCCAAACAGGCTCTGCTGGGAAGTCCACTACTGAATTGAGTTGTTTTTGTTCTTGATTCTGTTATATTAAGTTGCATTTCACAAGGATATCATTTCCATTACATGCAATAGACCCCATCCCAAACTCATGGGGAGAGTGGTCACTTTGAGATATTACAGTATTTTGATGCTGATCTGCCTTTTGAAGGAAGACATCATTTTACCTGTTGACAATAGTTTGTCGAAGTGTTCAACCTTCAAAAGATATTCATGCAACGTATATTCTCTTCCTAAATTTGTACTGTTTGTGTCTTTTCCTCATAAGTGATGGATACAATAAAACATGTTTGTTGAAGTGTCAAAAGTCCTTCATTGTCATTTAAGGATGAGAGGAAGACAGCTCTCTGGCCTCAGAGGCCAGCACCATTCCTTGCTTCCAGTAAACTTTGTTAACTCATTGTACTGGAAGTCGAAATTCATATGAAGAAAGGCATCACATTCACACCGGTCACAAGAAACTAGTGGTGTCTGGGTGCATACGGACAAGAATTTTCAACAAATTTTTTTTAACACTTTTGATTTAGCATGCAAATTTTTCGTTTGGAAAACCTTTAAAATGTGCCCAGATTTTTCTTCCATTGAAACATTGAAAGACACCTAGGAGGAAATGTTCACGGAGTGGGAAGTTTTGACAAAATAGGGGAAAGGTTATTGCAGACAGCTATGATCACAAATGTGCTTTGAGCTTATCTTGGTGCCTCCCTGACTGCAACTCATTCACTCGGATAGGAAAATAGTCATCTGAGGGATGAAGGTGATCTATACGGTGAGGGTGAGGATTCCCTTGCTCGCACTCTCAAAACCCAGCTCTGTAAATGAGCAAGCGAAATTCAGAGATTGGTAGGAGGGAATTGGAATGCAATGAGTGCTTGATGGAAGGCCCCAAACACAGATGAGAACTTGGCTCTCCCTTTGTTCGGTTCATGCAGCGGCCACGGCACCATGCCAGGAGTCTGCTAAGAGAAGGAAATGCATGAAAATATAACAAGGCATCGTATAATGTATGATTGAAATAAATTGTAGTAGAACATAGGCCTTCCCCATCCAACATCCCATCCCACCCCCGTGATCACATACAGGGTGACACAGGTGCTCTAAAATTCACCAATTTCCTAACCCCAAGTTTTCTGGGTCCACCATGTTTCATACAAAACAATTGGCTACTATCGGAATCGAAACGTATTTGGTTAGGGATCTGCTTGTTGGTGTTACTGTGTTGCCCCGTGCAATTATCAATAAAGCAGAAATGACTGGACCGAATTCGACAAATGACGTACCAATGGATTCATCTCGGTCGAAGGTGTGCCCTTATGGGTCATAAGTAGTGAGTTTCTGTATTAACAGTACTGACAAATAATTTCAATGAAATACCAAATCGGGTATGAAAAAGTTCATGGCCTCTTTTCTTAGCTAAACAAGCTGAACTGATTTTGAGTGAATAGACTTGTGTCATCGAAGTGTGCTTTTTGGCTTTTGCCTGTAATGGCATCACTGAAAGGTACTTTCAAAATTACTTAACATAAAAGGGTAAGATATGTTCATTTGTGTCTGCGTTCACAGATGCTCTTTCAAGGGCATCTTCGTCAGAATTAGGGCTCACAAGGAAGTATTTTATTGAAATTCAATTGGCAATCCCAATAGCAAAACTTTCCTTACTCATTTCCTCAGGTGATACTGTGGTGGACTTTCTTCATAATGGCCTTGTATTTCTTGTCGATCTCAAATACTGAGTTAGTATCGACAGTACTAAAAGGTGCCGTAGAATAGGGTGAGTTGGCCCCAGGGGGGTGAGATGAATCCAAAAAAGAAAAAGATTCAAGTAGCCACAAAAACTATAGTTTCTATTTTTTTAAACCTTTTTTTGGTATTCTTTCTCAAGTATTTTGAGTTGAAATTGACACATTTCATATTATTTTATGAAATAGTTTATTAATTAAAAATTGTATTTGATTAATTCGTCATCGACCATGTTTTCATGCTCTAAAGATGTCTATTTTTTGAGAGATTGAAAATTTCCCATTTGAATTTTCGGCAACAGTTCTAAGTTGCTTCAAGTCTTGTCAATAGATGGCGAGCAATACTCTTATTTCTTCTTAAAATATTCCCCACATATTCCTGTATTTTCCCCTCCGATCCCAAATTTTGCTGACAACAGGGTGAGATAAATCCGCTTCATTTTTAAGTTGCAGAGCCACGATAAAGGAATCTAATGTTCTAGGTTTGCATTTCAAATAAGTATAAAATGGTTTATGACATTTTTAGTTAATATGAATCAAATTGAATGCCTTGACCTTTTAGAAATGCTGCAAAAATGTAAACGCAAGACCAGTACCTGGGGGAAAACTGAACATTTGAGTCATGAGCCTATCAGGATCAACCTGGAGGTGGCCTGACAAGGAGTACACTGGGCTGAGTGTGAGGACGTTCCTTGTGATAAAAAAACCCACCGAAACTCATTAACTCCAGGGGAGGAGGGGTTGTGTGAGGTACCAGATATTGTCAAGTGCAGAAACAAGAAATGAACACTATGGCCAGCACCACAAGCTATAAAATGTAAACCCTTAATTTAAATTTTCGATTGTTTTTCTGTCATGTACGTAACCGCTATTAGCGGCACTGGTAATTAATAATATTTAACCAAAAATGTATGGGACCATAAATATATAGTGATAAAAATTATAAAATAAATACGTAAGTAAATAAATATATATGTAACTGCATAACGTATAGGTTAAGAACTTGTATACAATTATCATTGAATAGGTAATTGTATAAAAGTTCGTAGCCTCTTATTTCTGAATGAAACATCTAATTTTTAAATGTGGATTCATCTCACCCTACGCGACTACTTTTCCAGATTACCACTCATTCTTTTAGTTTATAAATTGGAAAACATTTTATAAAATGTTTAATGCTACCCATCTTTTGAACAGATACGGGTTACAGTTATGGTGAAAAAATAAGATAAAAAAGTTAACATTGATTCAGAAACTCTACGTCAAAGTTGTAGAGTTGAGTCGACTCGCCCCACACTACGGTACCTTGAAGTGTGGTGACTTGGAACAGATTTTGACATTTAAATTAATGTTACTGGAAGTGAAATTTCTATCTCACAATCCAATTAATTTTTTTCTTATGGTCGCAGACAAAATTCGTTTGACTGAGAGAAATAATATTACTTGCAGTATTTTCAATTTACTTCTAAAAATCTGTTTCAAGTCGCTCCACATTATAATACCCTTAATCAAGTGTTTAACGAATCTGAGCATGAGGTAGGTACAGGGTTTCACAGAAGTAAAAAAAATGTATATCTCAGGCGTTCTTTGATGAAATGCCCTAAAATTTTGCTAATCGTCAGAGGGAATGTTAATGCTTTTTTTTTAGTCAAAGGATTTGTTGATTCGCTCAGCATAAAAAATATATACAGGGTGTTACAAAAGAAACTACCCACTGTCAGCGTATAGTTCCTGATCAAATTCATGTAAAGTGATGATTTTTGGTGTGCGTATTCTAGGGAAATG